GAAACAGTTTTCCCCGTAGGAATTAATGTAAATTGAATTAATTTGTTCCTGAATTGTAGATGATTGCTTATTTGCATGTGAACTTTCCGCATAAGTTCATGACCCAAAACCGCTCGAAATTATTAAATTAAAAAAAAAGATAAATGCAGTATTAAATTGATAAAATAGATGGAAACTTAATTTAACGCTCTGTATTTGCACGACGGAACATGTACAAAGGAAACGGCATAATTGGTAAATGACGAGGAATATGCTATTGTTTGGCTGCAAATTTTCTTGCTATATAAATATCAGGTAACTGTTTTTAAGAGGCATCTTCTTTTGTCTTTCCTGTGCCTCTAAACGCCACTCAGCTCTGCTTAAGACTCGGTGAGTATTTGTTTCATTCAGAATTTGTCCAATGTGATTTGTTATGGCTTATGTTTTAGAGTATTTCTAAAGTGAGACATGGCCTTGCTACTGAAAATGCTTACGCTTTAACTTGTCACTGCTTTATCAGGGTGATATCACTATATAACAAGCTTGTAGCTTACTCCATTTTCCACAAATTTCGCGCATCAGAGAATTAGGTTTATTTCTTTTTTTTTTTTTTTTTTTTTTTTTCTTCTTCTTTTGAAGGCATTTCCTATAATCGCCTTTTGTTACTGCTTCTCAAGTTGTTCTTCTTTCTTGTTCAGTTACTTATATTGTTCCTCTAATAACATTTCCACGTCTTCATTGTTAAGTTCTTAATCCATGGTTTTGCCTAGAGATACAGGCCCACCAGCGGAGGAGCGGTAAAATCGCTGAACATTGGTAGTTCGGTCCGAGGTTCGAATCCCGCGAACGGGCTGGCTGCAAATTGCTTTGTGTTTTTTCCCCATGTGTAACATGTATATGAGCCAGTTCCCCTTAGAAAGTCCTCCACGAAGGCATCCCTCCCCTTAGGCAGATAGCCCTAGTGTGCTTTGCCGTATTCTCAATACACGCCTAGAGATACTATACCAGAGATAACAAGAAGTCCTATGTGTCGAAATACTCAAAGTCTCAGTCTGCAACTCAATCTGGCCATAATTTCATACAGGCCGAAATCATGGTCCTCTAAATCCATTGCTGCCAGGGTTTGTTAATGAGAGTTAAGCAGTGGAAAATAATATAATGATTTTTCTCAGAAGGCCCCGAGCCTTAACTATTCGTGGCACAAGTTACCTCAAAACAGCTTTGAAAATCATGTGTTACAAACTTCAGTGTTTGTAACTCGAGACACAGGTAGTCATTCAAGGCGGTCATTGATCAGTTACTTCGTTCATGAATTGAGGCGTTCGTGATCTGAGATTTAACGGTATAAAATAAAAATATATATATATATATAATTATGGGAAAATATTGCTGTATCACGGTTTCAGCTGCAAAATGCTGCTGTCGTGCAACGGAGTTTCGACTTATTTCAGTCAGGGACAACGTAACAATTTATTGAAATAAAATTATTTTCATAGTACCAACTATTTCAAAAGCATCGTTGTCTGTATCTTTTAATCTGGGAGAAGGATGCGTACTCTCCTTTAGAAGTCGAAATAAAAATTCATCAAACGACAAGTTTATGTACGGACAGAGGTTATAAGGTATTTCTCCCGCCTTCTTAGCATGCCTTCGTGGTGTAATAGTCAGCACACTCGGCGCGCATTCGAGAGGTCCCAGTCCCCGTGAGAGCATTGCTCATTTTTCATGTCGCTTGCTTCAAAATAGCCTAATGTCTCTACAAGGTTACGGATAATAGCAATAAAAAATAATTCACTGTATGAGGAATCAGATGTTTCTGGCAGTCAAAAATTGTTTCACTTAGTCACGTAATGTTAATCTAAAATGTCCCTAAAGTTCAGTTTTTGTCAAAAATTTGATTGTGCCATTCCTACAATTGTGAAAGTGGCAAAAATAAACTAAGAATCTTTATTAAAATTGTTGCTTATAATTAGGAGTGATTGTTGTTCACATACCTAAAACTTAGAATAGCTATTAGAAAAATGTTTAAAATTGCTTCGCGGGCAACTTGATACCCGCACGCACCGCGTTGCCAACCAGGGTCGGCGCTAGGCTTTTCCCGCCTGGTGCAAACTTTGTGGCTTTGCGGCCAGTTGCTTCCCTAAATTTTAAAAATTTCGTCTCTCTTAAACTCTACCGCCTGTTGTGGTAGCGCCGGCTGCACCAGCTCTGGTGCTGCTAACTCCCGATCTAGAAATTATCCTGAACTTTGCTTTTAGAACACGTATTGCAGGATCTTTGCTTTTTTTTTTTTTTTTCCATCACCTTACTTTACTTTGCGTTATGTTCTGCTACCGAGGAATTTATTAAGCGGCTTGGGAACTGTTATCATTTCAAAATCATTAATTTACCATCCACGCAAAATTTATCCACGTTGGAAAACTGCCAATTTTCAGAAGTATTGCATTCAGTGTGCCATCTTAGATCTTTAATTTATTTCTCATGTTTCTTCTCGCCACGATAAAATTTGTGGATTCATTCCAATGTTGTTGTCAGACAAGTGAGATAAGTCACAACAATAAAAGAATAGTTGATACTGATAGCGTCTAAATTTTTTCCTAGTCGGAAGATATTAAAAGTGGACCTAATTATAAAGTAAATGGAGTAAATAAGAAGGTAAAATAAAAAATATATTTTTGTGGTTTGATGATTTACAGTAAATAATAATATATTATTTTTTCATTAATAAATTGTTTTAAAATCAGTTTTAATTAAGTAAAAGAATTATGACGTAAAATCTTAAAAAGTAACAATAATAATAATATAGTGGTTATTTGCTTATTTTTATATTTTTAGCTCAAAAGAGACGTTAGTCCCGAATTTGATATTAGTGTCGAAACGACATTTTAAGCTGAATCACTATAAATGGCGCATCATTTTTCAAACTGTTGCCACCAAATATCGCCCTGTATTATATTTAAAAAAAATTAAATTCAGAATTCATTTTAAATCAGTTTTATAATTTTTTTTGGGGGAAAGAGTTCTTTATTCTGTCCTTACGTACGGATGTCACGCAAAAATATCGTTAAATTGCATTAAATGGGGGTCAAAATGGATATTTTCGTTGAAATATGATACCCGAAATTTCGATTACAATTCCTCTTTTTTTGCTTCGTACAAGGAAGTAAAAAGTAAGCACACAAAACATTAATAATAAGAAAAAACAAGAAAATCTTTGTAAAGCCATCTTAGTAAGAAAACTGAACATTGATATAATGAATTAAGAAAAGACTGAGAAAAACAATGGCGTCAAAGGGAAGAAAATTATACTTAATAATAAAGCTATATAGACAAGGAAAAAAAAAAAGCTAGAATTGTATTTATTGCTATTAAATCGCTTAGTTTATTGCTCAGTAACCTTCCAGATTTGAAAGTATCTTAGGTTTTACTGAATGCAAAGCGCTGGCGCGTGAAAGATAAGAGAATTTTATTTCCGACCGCGGTAAAACATCGTTTTCATACAACCGAGTTAGTTAATTAGAATTGAAAGATAAATACCTATTTTTCCGAATGGTAACGATCTCGTATGCTTATTTTGAGCAGCGTTACCACTGCTTTCAGAGCACTGAATTTGTTATTCAAAAATTCATTAAGGTTTTACAGAATGTGAAATAAATAATAAAACAAATTCAAAATTCATAATTCTGGCTTACAGGTGCACATGTTCAGATGGAGGACTATGTTACTCAAATTTTGATGGCTGTAGATACTGCTGTTTTCTCACAATGCAAGAAATATACATACATACATGCCGATTCTTCATTATTTAATAAATAACACAGAGCGAGAATATTTAGTAGCAATTTAAAAATAATACTGGGCGATAAAATTTGGAGTAATATTTTGAAAAGTAATACTCTGGTTATAGTCAAGCAACACAAAAAACCCTTTCCAAGTCTAATAGAATTAAGAATTATTTCAGATATATTAAAGAAAATGCTACAAAATTTCAAAAATATTTAAAACCGTTTTTAATGCATATTTAAAAATTTTTTAATTAAAAAAATTAAATGTAAGTATCTAAGTAAAAAAAGAGAAGTATTTGTATTTTAATTAAATCCAAAATACATGTTTTAAATAAACACTGAACAGTTTTATATTAGATATAGCATAATAAATTATAAAATTTATTAGTTTTTAATTTTTTTCTTTCTTTTCTAAATTTTAAAGATAAAAACTGACATTTTGAAAAGCTATATTACGATTGTTTGTTATCCGTAAGTTAAAAACTGAATGATTTTGGATGCTGTAACAGTTACCGTTGAAACAGTTTAAATTCATTATTCACCATCTCCCATCCAACTGTAAACTAAGAGAACTGAAAGATAGATAACAATTACGAAAAACCTTTGGTCCATATCCTCTTTCGAACCCTTCCACCGATTCATTCTAACAGCCGCTCAGGTAACGTCACACCTGCGGCACATCCACCTTCACACCGAATAGACAACCACACGACGACACTTATCTTCAAGTCTATTCATCCAGTCTTTTTTTAGCAACCGGGTAACGTTACATGATTGTTTTCCAAGCTGGTGCGCGATAAACTCGCAAACAAAGTCTTTGAAGAGTGTATTTTATCATTGAAAACAAGGGTAAACCGAATTCTTTTCTTTGCGTCACCGAAGGCTATACCAGACTGTGAAGTGGATTGTTGGCGTAAACGTCCCACGGGGATCCAGGGAACTCCTCCCTCCCCGTAGAGATGACGACTGACTCCTCCTCCCTTCCTACCCCCCTTCAACTGCTGCGCGCTCTCTCCCCGCCCCTGCGGCGGGCGTGGAAAGCTCTACCAACTTCCCGGCAAACTCATTCGGCAGAGTGTTGCTCCAAAGTGAGCACGCGAGGCAGGAGCTAGTTGCTAGTCTCTGTGTGCTGTTTTTGTTTTAGCGTAGTGTTTTTCGCCGTAGGTTTTTTGTAACTCCGTGATGTTGAAATGAAATATGGAAATTTAGTGAGTGTTATTTTCTTTTCCGTTGCAGGATTACGGATATGTCAATAAAGCCATTGGCGATAACGGACTTAGGTAAGTAATTTTCATTTATATATTTCGTTATGTAATATTTTTCTCACTTCAAATTCATATATATATATAAATATTTCAACGGAATGTTTACAGATGAAATAAAATCCATGCATAATAAAGGCCTGTCAGTTTATGAAAAAAAAATTTATTTTCACCTTTTTAAGTAAATTGACTTTAAATATTCTGGCTATAGCAACAGTGTTTGTTGAGTGTCACACGAACTTGCTGAAGGTTATAAAATAAAACTTTAAAATTAATATCTCGGAATAATCATAAAGTAATAATATTAAAATAAGTTAATAAAATAGATAATGAAATCTATTAAATCTGAGATCTTTAAGCACTACGGGATTGTAAAAGTGTTTCCTTAATTTGAAATTTTGTCAAATAAAAATTCATAAATATAGCCTTTGGTTAATTTTCTTATGAAAACCTTTAATATTTGATTAAGTCTAAGTTTTATTCAAAAAGTTAATCTGAGTTAGTCCTTTTATGCCTAGTACAGTAGAAAAAATTATTTATTCATTATTTTTTAAATAATTTGACGTATGAAATTGCAACTAACAAGTAGCAAAAAATTTCTAAAATATTAAAAAGGAAAAGTCAGTTGTTTTATTTAAACGAGGATTGCTTTTCTATGTATATACTCAGAGTTAAAATTAATAAATTAGAAAACGGACGAAATATTTTATAAATGACAAAAATTATGAAATTTTAAATAGCTTATTACCCATTTATTTCTTGTAATTACGGGTTTTAAAAATATGATTCAAGAATATTTTTAAATAAATTACCTTAAGTAGTGCGCGAACTTCTTTTCTTCTCAGTTTGCAAAATCATTAAAAAATTCAGTCACTTGAAAATTATTTCATTTACGTTAATTAAAAATTTCTTCCTCATCTAATGCGAAATACTTAAAATTTTCTTTAACTTATGAAAATAACGGGAGAAAAACCTTTTAGTCGTTTTGAGCGTAACAGGTAACTAGTTTTCATGTTCGCCGTACAAGCGCGTTCAAAAACACTTTCTTTTTCAAGCATAAATATTTCCGTTTAGTCTCTCATTAGCTTTCTGAGACGTTGTCATTTGCATACATTGGATTCGATACTTTAATATCAGTTTTACTGTAATTGTATGATTGACATGGAGAAGAAATTAGCGAAATAAAGTTTGCAAAAATATTATAATCTGAAAACTTTAGGCTGTAACGCAAAATCTTAAAGGAGAATTCAACATAGGAAATTTTAAAAATTAACATACATTTAAAAAAAATAAAAAGCATAAAAAAAACTTACAAATATTTCGCTTCTCGTTTTAAATAAAGAGTTAAAAGTAGTATCTGTTGTTTCCAATTCATGAAATTAAATCTTAAATTTGAATGATATTAAAACTTGATTCAAATAAAATATCAATCTTAAAAGCTTCATAGTTCGTTTCTCCGATTTTTTCTTTCTTTTTTTTTGGGGGGGGAGGGAGTGTAAAATGGTGAAAAAGGAAAAATAGCAAAAAGTTAAAAAATATTAAAAATAAATAAATGGAAATATAGGAAGATATTTCCATTTTATACTAAAAACTAGGGGATAACAATCAGATTTTATTTTTAATAGACGCAACAAAGTACTCAAGAAGCACAATTAAAAATTGTGCAGTCAGAGTATCAGAAACTTATTTTTTTATGACATTTGTAATATAAAACAACGTTTATTGCGAAGTGTTGTTAACTCCATATAAAATGAATTTGCAAACGCTGTATAGCAACGGAGTTTTTATATTAACGAAGACTGATGAAAGCTCTTATTCTGTGTTGAGATTGGCAGCAACATCTACTTGGACGCGATTTTAACAAAATTGAGATCAATAGAATCCACTTCGAGGTGTTTAAAAGGGGTAATTAATGAAATGGGGCGAACATTCACAGAAATAATTTTGAAAGGTGGTTTCTGCTGAAAATAACTAAATTTTGTGACATAGAAGCAAATGTTAATTTTTTTCTAGTTTAAGTAAATAATTGTTACGTGTTTTAGACAGATTTTATATCATGTTTCGTACTTTATTAAGGCATATGCGCTATATTTACTTCGTAATTTTTTTTTAATAAAACACCAACGTGTTTTGAAGTCGTAGGAGAAATGTACACCTTCAATAGACGAAAAATCATAAGATAGAAACTATACACAGTACGGCACGCAATGCTTAGCGTTCAGAAAATTTGTTTAGATGCGACAGAATTTATTTTTGTCTTCTTTCAATATCTAGCAGACAGTTTGTAATAAAAAATTACAAAACCTGTTACGGCTATTGCGAAAATGCGAGTAAATGCGTGCATTGCCGATAAAGCACGTATTTTCCTTTTCCGCTTCCTTAAATTTCTACAACATATCGAAATGTAAATGTAAACGAATGTGCAAAATTCTCTGTGAGTTATATGAGCAGAAAATATTTATTTTACATGTCATCAAAAGACAAAATAATAAGAAGAAACTGATCATGTAAGAAAAACACGCAGACGTCGAGACTCCTGAGTGCTTTAATATTATTTTTGAAAGGGAATATAAAAAAATTTATCTTAGGAATATTAGAAACATTTAGATCGGGAATAAAAGAGTAGAATTTTATTGAGAATCGAATACATTAATTATTTCAGGGCATTAAAATACGTATTTTCTTCTTAAATGGATATTTTTTAACAAATATTAAGGTCTGTTTCGCCTTTTTGCTGCTTGAAGAAGAGAAACATGTATCATGTTCTCTATAAATGCATACACATTTTCTCTGAACCCATTGCTAGTTTAAAATTGTGTTTTTTCAAATTTTTAAATCTCCCTAAGATGACCGCTCCCGATTTTGGATCCGCTGCCCTTTCGTAGAGAATAAACGCTTTAGAGATAGGATATTTCATTTTTATGTATGTTTATGTATTAAGTTTATGTATGTCCTAGGAAATACTGTTAATTTTTTAATGATGGCCGTCTTCGGAAAATGGTCTGTTCGAGAAATTATGTCACGGTCAGATAGATGACCGTGCATGATAACGTATACATTTGAAGAGCCATAAAACAGATCGAATATGAGATTAATGTTCCTATAATACATCTTCTGAAAAATGCGAATTATTCGAGAAAAATTTTGTGAATGCTAACGTAATTTTATGTTAATATCTTATTTTTTTCATTATCGTATATATGCATAATATAGGTAAACATGCATGTTAAGTATAAATTTGGCAAAAATTCCATGAATATATGTGACAAAATTTGTTAGAAAGTTTTCACATGAGGATCATTCAAATTATCTGTGTTAACCCTTGAGTTGTTGTTTTAAATACCAAACCAAATATTTCTACACCAAGCAAATAATGTACCGCGCTATAAACATATTTTATTAATTTCTATGATGCCGTAAATGTTCATAAAAGATATCAGTTAGATATACAGTAATTTAATTCAGCGCTTCAATTCAGTCAGAACTCTGAAATGGGATGACACGTCTTGTTACGAAACTGAATCGCAATATCAGTTAGAAAAACTTTTATTTATGTAATCTTTCTTTTAGCGTTTATTAATGTTGATACTGTCGTTAGCTACTGCACGAATGTCACACTTTCCCTGGGAAAAGTCAAAAACGAGTTTACACTGTCAAAATACCCAAACGTAAGAAATATTAGAAACACCCCAGGCGTAGAAAATACAAACTGAGAGGAGAGAATTTGATCTAGATGACATAAGCCGAAGAGATGAATTTCTGCGTAAGTTTTAAGAGTAAGAGGTCAAAAGTGTAGTTAATGGGGTATTGAAAGCTTAACACATGATTTGTTATTATTATGATTATTATAACGCTAAAAATAATCTTAGACTGGTATAAAATTTGAATAAAATTCTTATCAGTTTCGAAGGCAATCAGCCATGAATCCCTTTTCCTTAGTTGGAGGGGCGACTGCATCTACGCCAACCTAAGGCTGCATTTTCCGTTAATTTTAAATTTTACAATTAAAAAAAAAATTCTGAAAGTTTTTCAGATTTTATATTACGCTCAAAGGGCGTTTTTTTAACGTTTTTGTGTTACCTTTATTTATTAAATATCACGTTCTTCGCACTTAAACGATAAAATTCAATTAAACAGCAGCAATATCGAAAAATAATTTAAAAATGAGCATATCTTTAGAATTTCCGATAAACAGTTTCGCGCCCTGGATATATATATATATTTCCGTACAGTGTTGCCATAGCTCGTTTTGAAATCGTTTTGTTAATCAGAACTTCGTTAAAATGTTGCAAAATATGAAATCGATAATAAAACAAATTCCAAATTTGGGGTTCCATATGCCTATATTTGGTGGAGGATCACGTTATTCAAAATTTGATGGCTGTAGGTACCGTTGTTTTATCACAATGAGAGAAACGTACATACTTTTATGAAAATTCTTCATTATTTAATTTCTTTTAATATAACACAGGACGATAATATTTGGCGGCAACAATTTTAAAAGTGAAACGGACATTTAAAGATTTCAACGCAAAATGCCAAAACGAACTTCTGGGCTAACGCCCTTTATTCTAATGATGTGTTTCTCTTTCGATTAAGCATGAGATGTTGCTAACAGTGGATAATAGAAAGATAGAGAAAAACTGAAATTTTCTGTTGTAAGTTGATAGATAACTTAAAATTTGCTGAAAGGTGTTTCTGAGTCAAATTTCTGTGACCAGTCATGTGGTCAATGTGAAATTTAATGGCTAACCTATATTAACATATTAATGCACATTTTAATACGAGATTTTATAAATAAAATTCTTCAAGGGATATTTTTCATTTAAATGTACACTTTTCATGAATTTTTTCAATAAGATATCCATTTAACAACTTTAGATGAGGCAAAAATATGTTCAGGGTTAACTTTTATCTCTGTGCTCTGTCTTGCTCTCAGTTATTTATTCGCTTTCCATTTGGTATATTATTTCATTTAGTTTTTTAGATATTTTTATTTAATACCCCAAAGGAACGGT